CCCCCCCCGAGACCGCTCAATGGATCCCACATGAATAAAACACCATTCAGTAAACCGACTAGACTCAATTATTGCATTAACATCTGTTCCAAAAATATTGGCTGCAGAGGCCAAAGATTACGATCTCATTATTGAACCGGTCGAAAAAAACTATGAAGATTACTACACTGGCCAAAGACATGGGGAGCCCTTCATTCTTTGGCGTCATTGACAGAGATTTCGGATCTAAGCCAGCTGATCTTCTCAAGCGACTGAAAAAGTCGCTGCTCCTGGAGCTCACATTGAGCACAAAAACGAACTTTCTCTTGGCGTGCAGATCTGAGGGTTTGGTTCCCAATTTTATAACGTACAAATGCTTATTTGATTTTCATTTCTCAACGTTTACGGGGTCTCTGAATTTTCGTAACACAACCCGTATTTTTAAGAAGAAGGTTCTTAATATAACTATCTCTGATTGCATCAACAACATAAAGAATGTGAAGAAGGATATTCTAAGATTAAAAAATAGGTTGGAAGTTTTAATTACTGTTGGGATTCTTCAGGAATTCCTGACTAAACAGACAGCCCATCTAAATAATTTATGCAAAGTAAAACCGGCTGCTCTCAACGAGAAACTAGACAAGCTCAGATCAAAATCTTTCAATAACTTAATTTCCCATTAACAAGAACGAGCGCATACGAAGACTTCTGAGACTACTGATTTTGATGATTTTAGTTTTATTTTTGATGTTGATCATTCAGCACATAATGCTGTCAGCATAACTGTAATTTCTGAACCCTATGACATCAGCCCCTCCAAGTGGCTTATAAATCTGACTGATGTGACAGTTCCAGTCAATGTGGCACAATTTTTGTCTCTTGGACATAATTTTTCTGTGAGTGAGTCTCTCCACACCTTTTCCCCTCAATCTTTTATGACTGAGCTTGAGAATAATATTAGTCTGATTCCTAACGATAAAATAGATTGAGCAACAAGGAGCTATTTTGTAAACATTATAGTTAACTATATGAATAATTTAGGAGGAAAGAGACCTGATCCAGCGACTCTGGTGGTGAATAGGTTTCTTAAGAACAATAAGGATGTTATGGTCACCGGGGCTGACAAGGGCCAGGTGACTGTCCTCCTGGATAGACATAAGTACATTCGAGGTGGTTTAGCAATGTTGGGGGACCCGCTGACCTACGAAAGCCTTTCGAAAGATAAGAATGTAACTGCTCAGAACCTTAACAATAAATCGGTCAAATCCTGGGAGAAGCAGAAGTTTATATCGAGTGATCTGTGTGGAAATTTGACGATCTGTACTTCTACTTGTCCTAGGCTTTACCTCTTACCAAAAATACACAAACCGGTGCTACGTTTCCGGCCCATAATCTCTTCAATAAACGACCCATTGCACAAACTCGTGAGATTTATCCATACAAAACGTCTTCCACTTCTGGTCATTTTTCTTATGTGAAGAATAGTGTTCACTTCAAAGAGCTGGTGCGAGGTGTCACCATCCCTGACTATTATATTTTGGTGTCATTGGATGTGTCATCTTTGTTTACCAACGTGCCGTTGGACCTGGTCAAAACTGCAATTGATAATAAACAGGACAGAATTACTGGTAGGATCCCTATCTCACAGATTGTGAAGGTAGTGGAGGTAGCGATGTTCAACACTTTTTATCAGTTTAATGGTAGCTTCTTTAGGCAGCACTTTGGTCTGCCCATGGGGTCCCCTCTGGCCCCTGTGTGTGCGGACCTGGTGGTGCAGGATTTAGAGACTGTTTGCATTTCCCAATTGCGTTTTGACATTCCTTTTTTTCATCGCTACGTAGATGACATTTTGACTCGTGTTCCTGTTGACCAGGTACAACGTGTGTTGGAGGTATTCAATTCCTATCATCCGCGTCTCCAGTTCACCCATGAAGTTGAGCTTGGAGGCCGGATTCCGTTCTTGGATCTGATGATCATAAGGGAGGGGACGGGATTGATCTTCGACTGGTATAGGAAGCCGACCTTCTCAGGGCAGCTCCTGAATTTCCAGTCCCAGCACCCAATGAACCAAAAAGTTGCAGTGATTCTAAACCTGGTGGATCGTATATACAGATTGTCACATCCAAGATTTGTCAAGAGGAAGTTGTTGTTTGCGCGACAGGTCCTTAGTATAAACGATTACCCTAAGGACTTCGTGAATCATTATATTCGGTTGGAGGGGCTACGTTCTAATAGTTCCCGACAGCCGATGATTAGTGATGGCGGAGAGGGTTTGGATCGTAAGAAATCCATGGTCTTGCCTTTTCCTGATAGGGTGTCCATGAAGCTTAGGACATTGCTAGGGAAATTCGGCATAAGTTTACTGACCAGAGTTACTAATAAACTTTTACGTCTCTTTGGTTCCACTAAGAATAAACTTGACCCGATGGTTAAGTCACAGTTGATCTATAGACTAAATTGTTCGGACTGCGGTATGGCTTACATAGGGCAGACGGGTCAATACCTCAAAGACATTATATTTCAGTCTCGTTCTCGGGATTACAATCCTGATATTTACTGGTAGTACCGCTGATCATGCAGATCGAGTCACAAGTTTAGAGAGCAATTCGAAAAAATGCGCCATGAAGGTCTGGTAGCGCCCCCACAGACCTGTCGTTTTCATAATTGATGAAGGATAATATTATTTATACATAAACTGACTCATGTTTTCCTGACTTATCAACGTTGAGACAAACCCTCACGTTGTTGTGGATGATGTCAAGTCACTAAAAAGGTTTCAATACTGATCTATTGATAAGCACATGGATGCTTCTGGCTCAGATTTAATTTATTTATTCATTTTTGCTTCCGAATGGAAGCATTGTAATCACTTTTTTTTCGATTCTCCAATTTTGCATGAATATGACTCAGGGTGGTCTGAAACGCCGACATTTGATATTTTTAGCCGATGTCCGTATGTATGTGTGTGCGTGTGTATGTATGTGTGTGTGTTCGTCCAGAAACATGTTAATAACTCCAAGACTATTCCCGCGAAAGGGCTGAAATTCTGGCTCATGATAGGTTTTGATGACATACAAATTTGTGCAAAATTTCAGCTTGATCGGTTGGATGGTTCCTGAGATATGGCGTTTTCTCAAAAATCGTTTTTTGTGAATATCTGCTAAACGACTCGATCGATTTCAATAATTTTTTCCCAGAATATGTATAACCATGATATCTATCTGATTACATCAAAACTTGATCGACCCAACACCGGAAACAGAGTTTTTTTTCATTTTTTCATTTTTTTCATGAAATCGCTCGTTACCACGATAACTCAAAAAATAATTGCGATAGAAACTTGAAATTTTGTACGATTATATGGCTAATGGTAACAATGATTGGTATTGTTGATGGGCAAAATCGGACCAGTAGTTCCTGAGATATTCCACTTTATAGTTAAAGCTCTACCCTCTAATATCTCGAGAACTACTATACCGAATGAAGTTTTTTTTTTTTTTTGAAAATACTCGTCATGATAAGGGCTATCGAGCCGAATGAAAAGATGTATATCGTTCCATTCAAAGTTTTCGAGATATTGTTACTTTTCCATTTTTCTATTTGAAGTAGGCTATGAAGTACTTCAAAATTCTTTCAACGACTTAAAATTTTGGCTATTGGTCGATACTACTCAGTAAAATAACTGATAATTATTAGAAATTAATCCGTCCACTATTTTGTCGAATACAAATTTTTTCCATTCCTTCTCAATTCAAATATCTTAGAAAATACACAAGTTCATAAATTCGTACAAACTCTGTTATGAAAATCATCATCTTATGACTATCGAAAGTTGTTGAATTGTAGTGATATTGAGAGAGCGGCGAATTCCATATCAGGAGGGCCCCGTCTTGGAAAGTTGATGAAGACTAATATAAAATTCCAAATTCAAGAAATTAGATCACACCAACTTCCGTCTTGATCACAACCATGGCTTCACAAAATCCATCAAATATGAGATTATATGCAGTATAAAAAAATATAGATCAGTATTATATGCCTTTTTAAGTCATGTCGTGACAGAAATCGTTAATAAAATAAGCATGTGCGATTTTTCAGAAAAAAAGCGATGTGGATGCACCACTCTATACCAAGATGTACTGGATCGATTAACGCCAAATTTTATACACGAATGTGGGACAATAATGTGAATTCACAGCCAAAATTTCAAATCTTTAACCCAAGTTGAGCACGCACTACAGCCGTCACAGTGAATTTTTATTCGAAAAATCAGAAAAACGTCGATATCTCAAAAACTTTGTATCGGGGGGTATGTATATTTTGATTGATCTCAATAGAGGGTGTTATGCCAAATATTTTGAAAAAAAATTAAGTCGATTGGACCAGTAGTGGCGGAGATATTGAGCAAAACAGTTTTTCACAAAAAGTTGAATATCTTCTAAACTACTCATCCGATTTCGCCCAGTCACAATACCATCCAGTGATACCATAAGACCTACAACTCTACCAAATTTCAACTTTCTATCTTCATTTTTCAAGGCGCAATCCTGCCTACAACGATTTTTTCATAAAAATGAAAAGTGCCGATTATCACCATACCATCGACAGTTAGGTGGCAACATTATGATTTGATTCGATAGATATTATCACGAAGAAGATTTTGACGTCAAAAAAATTCAATTCGGTTACGCACTTCCCGAGATATTGACGATCAAAGATTTTTGAGAAAACGCTGTATCTCAGAAACTACTGGGCCGATCGAGCCGAAACTGCGCCCAGAAATGCTCCAAAGTATTGCCAATTATGTGTCAAAATTTCAGATTTCTAGCTTCAACTTTAGTCCTTTTGCTTCCGAATGGAAGCTTTGTAATCGCAATTTTTTTCGATTCTCTAATTTTGCTTGGATATGACTCAGGGTGATCTGAAACGTCGACATTTGATATTTTTAGCAAATGTATGTATGTATGTGTGTGCGTGTGTGTGTGTGCATGCGCATTTGTCCAGAAAGTCATCAATAACTCTGAAACTGTCTTTACGAAAAATCTGAAATTTTGGCTCATAATAGGTCCTAATGGGAGACAGACATGTGCAAAATTTCAGCCTGATCGACTAAGTGGTTCCTGAGATATAGCATTTTCTCAAAAATGGTTTTTCACGAATATCTCATCAACGGCTTTATCAATTAAAATTTTTTTTATCCGAAAATCTTTGTTTTGATAATACCTATCTTTTTGTATCAAAACCTAATGAATCCACTACGGAGAATGGGTTTTTTTTTCTATTTTTTCACTTTTTTCAAAAAATCGCTTGTATCCACGATAACTCAAAAAATAATTGAGATAAAAACTTCAAACTTTGTATGATTATAGCGCCGTTGGTAACGAAGGCTGGTATTGTCGGTGGGCGAAATCGGCCCAGTAGTTCATGAGATATTTAACTTTATAATCGAAAATTCTTCCTTTAATATCTCAAAAACTACTGGACCAAATGCATTCTGCTTGCTCTCAAAATTTTCGTCTGAGTGGTGGCTATCGATGCAAATCAAAATATAGGTACCATTCAATTGAAAGTTTTCGAGATATTTCAATTTTTCTCTTTTTTTGAGATCAGATTCCTATTTTCGACTGTGAAGTGGTTTAGACTTCTATTAACGCTGTCAAATTCATCATTCATATCAGGTTGGTGTCTGGTTATTGAATTATATGGTCCTGATCATGAATGTAACGCGTGGTCAAGACAGGCTTTGAACCGGGCACCCGTGTGGGATCTTATACGGAGATCCTAGCCCCGACCTGATCCGGGGAACTACATCAGGTCCATGCTGAGTTAACTTATACGGTGAGTTAACTCTCAAATTTGAGTCAACTCTGGGTTCGATCCATCACAGAAGTAGAATTGGATTTTGGAATGGAATAACTACGGATCCATTCGGAAGCATACTACCAATGGAATTGGTAGAAATTAAAAACGAGAGAAAGTAGTATCACAAAAAGCGACAGTAAAAAAGCTTCGGTAGAATAGGCTTCTACCTCTGCTTGTTTATTTTTTCTCATTCATTGAGTTAAGAAAGTGCTCATAACTCCTAACATAACTGAATAATCAGTGAATTACAGTAAATATGAGCACATATTTCAACTTTATTTGGTTTTCACCATCTTCTACATGAAAAAACATGTAAACATCCCTCACAAAGCCAATGTGCAGTTTCTTAAACCGAATGGGCTTGCGTCAAATATCCCACAAACTGTAAAGGCTATGACTGCCTAACGTCAAATATGTTAAACAGTTTCCACTTCCAACTTGAATATTTTTTTTCAAAA